CAACCATGAATGGCTAAAATATCAACTAAAGTCTAGCCCAAGACTGAAATCAAACACAATCTAAACTAAGTCCAATAGGAAATAAAAACAAAACTACAAACTAGCCCAAAATTAAACCGTGTTAGGTTAAGGAATGTGTATATATATATATATATATATATATATATCAAATAGTTAAAACAAAAAATTGTTAATTTGTTTAGAAAAAATAAAATAAATTGATTTATCAAAAAAAATTCGGTTCTTATTCGGTTCTAGGTCTAGAACCGAGAACCGAACCAAAATTTTTCGATTTTTCGGTTCTCGGTTTTTCGGGTTTTTAAGTTAAGAAAACCCGCTCGGTTCGGTTCGGTTCAGTTATTGGAGGTTGGATTTTTGTTCAAATGCATAGTTACCTTGAAACCTAACTTTTGGCATTATTTCACGGGTGGATATCCCAGTTTTCAGATGTGCATTTAAGGTTAGTATATTCAAGATAATTACGTATGTTCACTTATATTTTTATTTAAAACCTTTAGCCGTTCTTCGTGGCTTGAATGCTTTTTCTTTATTTCTGATCGATCCTTGATAAGAAGATTTTTCATGGCCAGCCAATTTAGAATCGAACGAGTTTGCTAATCTATCTTATTTTACCCTCAGATTCCATTATTGGGAAAAAAATTCAATATACTACAAAGTTTCATTTCCTTGATTATGTCAACCGTGTTCTTCCTCTACTTGATATTTATATTTCTTCAAAGGCAACAAATATACTATCCAAATCTCGACGACGAATTGATTTGTGTCCTATTGAGGTTCATCTTGAAGGAATTGAACCTCATTTACGAATTTAAAGTTTTTAAATTTAAATTTAAGTTACACGTATAAATGTTTGTTTTTCATTTAAAAATATAATATTCGATGTGTGCGTATTTTCTGTAACATAACACGAAGTGATCGGTGAACTTGGAATTGGATTACGAAAAATTACTGTGATAGCTGTAAACCAAAATTGATTTTTTAATGAGAAGAAGGCCAGTAGAGAGTGGTGGGACAAATTCCTTGAAAAAGTTGGATTATATTATGAAAATATGATTACTTGTGATTCGAAAGTCAAACAAATTTCGCCGCTGTTGACTCCCTGGCCTAATTTGTTATCAATTAATCTAGTTGTACGTGTTGACAAGGTCTTGGTCCTTGATTTTTCATTGATTTCAAAAACAGTTCTTGAAATGATTGATCTAATTGTTGTCAATACATAATTTGTAAACCAAGTTTGTCAACTTACTTTATACGCATAGCACGATTCGTTTGTTATGGCATAACACAATAATTATGTAATGGGTGAGTGATTTTTTTATGCATGATTTGTGATTTTTGTTTGAGGGAGCTTGCTTTTGGTGGAAGGCATTCATTCTCTCTCATCTTTTCATATAAAAAAAAATTAATATTATATTATGAGTAATACTATTAAGAGTGATGCTACAGGTACATCAGAGGTTACATAAGGGTGTCCATAATGGACACCCGACGCCTCCTCATTGGAGGGATGGTTGGTGGGGGTCGGCACTCTATCAAATGGGAGGGTGCCGGGTGTCCATTATGGACACCCTTATGTAGCACTTGATGTACAAGAAGAATAATTCTACTATTAATCCTCAATGAAATTACAAACACAATCTAGGCAGCTCAAATGATATGTGAAATTAAATAAGTCATTTAATTTCACATTTTATTTAACCTATCATTTAGATTGTATTTGTAATCCCACTGGGGATGTATAATATTATTCTTATATAATTCAGAGCTTGTTTGGTAGAAATTTTAATCCAATTAAAATTGAAAATATAGTCGTTATTGGGTCTCACTCGTCTAATAAAAGTCAACAATAATGACTAATTTTTCAATTTTAATTCGATTTTAATCTCTATCAAACAAACTCTAAGTAATGTTTAATAGTAATTAGTATCAGAGTGCGTTACAATAATTTTATTAGTGTAATATTGGTATTACACAAATCTTGACGACGAATTGATTAGTGTCAGGTTCATCTTGAAGGAATTGATTTGTGTCAGGTTCATCTTGAAGGAATTGAACCTCATTTACGAATTTAAAATTTAAGTTACACGTATAAATGTTTGTTTTTCATTTAAAAATATAATATTTGATTTGTACGTATTTTCTCTAGAATATAGCTTCTTGTACATTCCATAGATGACAATACGGATGACATTGTGCACAAATTCAAAAATGAATGGGCGGGAAAGTGTGTTTTGTTTTAAAACTGGCCACTTGTGTTGCAACACGTGACACAATATAAAAAAAAATGTACATGTAGCATAATTGTTTTCTCTAACATAACACGAAGTGATCGGTGAACTTGGAATTGGATTATAAAAAATTCGAGTCCGTTTGATAGGTGAAAGTGGAAAGAAATTTCACTTCCATGTTAGTTGGAAAATAAAAACTCATCGAATCGCTATGAATTCGTTTTCCATGAAAACAAAGAAAATACAATTTAAAATGATTGTACTTTGAAATTCGATTTTCATTTCCATGTTGTAATCAAACACAGTCAAAGTGGAATTCGTCTTTATCGAATGTGATATTTTTCATAAAAAATGTGACAACCTTAGTGTGATAGCTGTAAACCAAAATTGATTTTAATGAGAAGAAGGCCAGTAGAGAGTGGTGGGACAAATTACTTGAAAAAGTTGGATTATATTATGAAAATATGATTACTTGTGATTCGAAAGTCAAACAAATTCCGCCTCTGTTGACCCCCGGACCTAATTTGTTATCAATTAATCTAGTTGTATGTGTTGACAAGATCTTCGTCCTTGATTTTCATTGATTTCAAAAACTATTTTTGAAATGATTGACTTAAATGTTGTCAACGCATAATTTATAAACCGAGTTTGTCAACTTACGATGTACACATAGCATGATTCGTTTGTTATCGCATAACACAATAATTATGTAATGGGTGAATGATTTTTTTATGCATAATTTGTGCTTTTTGTTTTGAGGGAGCTTGCTTTTAGTGGAAGGCATTCATTCTCTCCCATCTTTTCATATAAAAAAAATAAATAATATTATATAATTCAGTAATGTTTAGTATCAGTTTACCTGACAATAATTTTATTACTGTAATATTGGTATTACACTTATTTTGATTTTAGAGAAATATAAATAGAGGATGCATTTGAAATTCATGACATGGTTGACGGAAGAACTAAACGAAGTATTTATACTTTGCATATTTTGAATTTTCATTCGGAGGAGGTGATATATAATCTAGGTAATTGGTGTTTTTATGGATGGAAAAATTAAGTAAATTTTACGTTGAAGTATTTTGACATACAAATGTTTAGTTTTCACTCTTTCATCTCTCAAGAGAAGTGATAAATAACTGTACTGTAATTACAATTCAATAACTTAGGCCGTCTGTAATTTGTATTATTCGAAAATTATGAATAACTCTAATCAACAGGGATACAAGTTCATGGGTGAATTTCAGGTCAATTTCAATATGGTATTTCCAATTTCCAAAGAAATATCTATCAAAATTTCTGAATTTTTATTCATTCAAAAATCATAACAATGTAAGATTCCAAGGGACATGATTTTTGGCAAGTCCCTTTCTATAATCGGCATAATGCTGGAAAAATCATTTGAAATCTTATCTTCTTCCTCCTCATCTTTGAGCACAAAAGTAATGAAACAAAAACAAAAGGACACAAATGGGTCAAAAAAAACATAGCATCATTCTGAAATCCCAAGAACTATGTAACCTATACAACGGCAAAGAGAATCCACTCATTATCGATACGGTAATCTTGTCAGATTCTATTCAAGCTGAATGAATTTAAAGTTGACAATAATGTATTATCAAAATCCTAACGTGCATGGATGAATATGCAGATGTCAAATAAAATGTTGTCAATCAATATTATACTGTAACACGATTCATTCAAGCTTGCATAACGATCAAATTCTGATATCACTTTCATTACGATGAGATTGGAGAAGACAATCGATAAATTATGTCAAGTATTTTTCTTCGACAAATGCTACTAACTTAACCTCGGCAATTTTTTACTCAATGCTCTTCTTTCTACGAATTATCAAATGATCACAATCCAAGGGCCAGATAATCATTTTTTCAAAATAAAAAAAGGGGGTATCCTCGTACTATTTAGCCTTGGAGATGTAATTGATAAAGGGCGTTTTCCCCATGTTTTTGAGATTAATGAGTATAGTGAGTTAAAAAAGTTTGCTTATAAGTAAAAAGTAAATTTTAATCTAAATTATTTTTTGTTAATTAAAGTTTAAGGCTCTGTTTGGTACACATTATTTTTTTCATTCTCATTCTTCTACTCATTTTCAACCACACATTTTCTTCAATAAAATAATATTTTCCATCACATCAATAACTTTTCCTTCATTTTTAACCATATATTCTCCATCAATCTACTATTCCAAAATACATTCTTCCAAAATAATGTGATTCAAACCCACCCTAAAGATATAAATAAAGTTAAAATCATGTATATTAATATCACCAACATATAATCGATTGTGACTTACTCTAGATATAATTTCAATCAAACATTCTCCATCAATCTAATAATATTTTCCATCACATCAATAACTTTTCCTTCATTTTTAACCACACATTCTCCATCAATCTACTATTCAATAGTACATTCTTTCAAAAGAATGTGTTCCAAACACACTCTAAATAAATAAATTTATTAAAAGTTATGAAGACATGAGTTACTTAGCTACTTTGAAGTAACTCTACAAACTCCTACTCACCACACAATCACCATTTTCTTGTACAGCTAATTCTAAGCCCCTGTTTGATACACATTATTTTTTCATTCTCATTTTTCTACTCATTTTCAATCACACATTCTTTAATAAAATAATATTTTTTCACATCAATAACTTTTCTTTCCTTTTCAACCACACATTCTCTATCAATCTACTATTTCATAATACACTCTTTCAAAATAATGTGACTCAAACACACCCTAAGTCTCCATATTTGATGGGAATTAAAATTAAATGTTTAGTAAATTTCATTTTATAGTTGATGAAATACCGTCATTGTTAGGCTTCCATTTTGGAGAATTTATAAATTTTGAAATAGTGATTGATGAGAAAATGTGTGGTTGAAAAATAATGAAAAATTTTAAATTTGTGTGTAATATTATTTTATTTAAAAAATGTGTGGTTTATGAAAGGAAAAAATTTAATGAGGGCCAAACAAGGATATAAGGTTGAAAAATTGTGAGTTCCATGAAACATGTGGTTAAAATTAATTGTTGATTTTAACTTAAATTATCTATAATTTAATCATTAAGGGGGTGTTTGTTTGATATTTTTGAGGGAAAAATTGATTTTTGAATAGTGATATGATGGGAAATGTGTGGTTGAAAAAAAATAAAAAATTATTGATATGATGAAAAATATTATTTTATTGAAAAATATGTGATTGAAAATGACAATTAATTTATCGTAAAATTTAAGAATCCCAAACAAACACCCCTTAACAAAGAAGGGCTAAGTTCCAAAACATGCAAACTCCCTAAAGATTAGTGAAATACCTACCATCACCCAAA